GGGGGGGGGCGGCCCTCCGTGCTTTCTTCGCCGATTTTATATTTGTATCCCGCCTCGCTCCTGCAGGGCGCCCGAGGCGGCTGGTCCTCTTCCGCTCGGCCTCCTCCTCGCAACAGCCCTGCAAGGTAGGCCAGGCAGAGGGCGGGGTGCGGGCCGAAGTCACGCAGGAGGCCTCACGGCCCGCGGGGACACGAGAACCGGAGGGCCGGCTCCAGCCCCGCGCTCGCTCGGGCTCTGGGCGTTTTGGCTGCTTGGCTGCTTTAGTAGATGCTGCATTCATGTTCATTGCAGTGCAGAAATTACATTAATTAAGTGTATTCAAATTAAATTCAAATTAAATTATTAAATAACAATAATATTGCCTCTTAAAGTTCTTCACACATTATGCTGCAAGACAGGCCTGAGGCAGTGGTGCACCTTGGGATTTTTTCGTATTTCTCTGTTTTAATTGTTCCTTTCAGCAGAGCCAAGAGCTGAGCCGGCTAGGCCTGTCCCAGGGCTCCCGGAGGCGCTCGTAGCCCGCCTGAATTCAGGAGACTGAGCTCTGCATAGCCATCCTTGGAGGACTATTGTTAATATCGCTGTTGTTGCTGCCTAAGAAATCTTCCAACCACCAGATTTTTTGCAGGTTCCGCTGCAGCTGAGGAACAGCACTGCCCCTTTGGATCCCCTACGCCATTATGAAAGCAAATCGCAGAGGAACACATTTTGCTGAGCAAAAAGGCTGCCTGCCACAAGAAGTACCCAAAGAGGGTGAAGTATTAATCAGACAGTCCCTGGTTTTAATCCCATTAATCCATTGATGGTCTTTGGCAAGCTGTGATTTTTAAAGCTTCGCCTCACTCCCTTAATCTACAATATGTGGGTAACAATACCGGCCTCTCTCACAGGGTTGTTGTGAAAATTATAAATGTATGCGAAGAATTCTGGCCAAACTCTCTTAGGTGCTATAGAAATACTAAGTGAGACTGGTGAGGGCTTTTCCATCCCAATCACTTCTCAAATATGGGAGTTAGCAGCTGGGCATGGTGAACCAAGTGTGCATTTTTGCTACCCTGTTTCCCTGAAAATAAGACCTAACTGGAAAATAAGCCCTAGCATGATTTTTCAGGATGCTCGTAATAGAAGCCCTACCCCAAAAATAAGCCCCAGTTAAGATAGTTAGCCAAACAGACGCATGTAGTATGTCCGTTGCAACACAATTTGGGGTTTGGAGACTTACGACGATGTTCCAGAAGAAGATAGCATGACTGTATTTGAATAAATGTAGATTGTTGTACATGAAAAACTAAAACATCACCTGAAAATAGGCCCTAGTGCATCTTTTGGAGCAAAAGTTAATATAAGACACGGTCTTATTTTTGGGGGAAACACAGTAATAGCCTGCTGACAGAACCAAGAGACACACATGGTCCCGGGCCTGCTGTTTTCCCAAGTATGAAACCGAAGTTGAGTTGTGGGCTCATTTAAATTGCTTGCCTTGGAAAGCTCGGCATCATTCTGCAATGTCCCAAGAGAACCCTGGGTTCCAGCGAAAGAGCTTCTGGAGCCGTCGCCCAAGCAACAGAGCAATCATTTCTTTCACTAAATAAATGCCGATTAATAACCAAATTGTAACTGAATTTTTCATTGGGACACCCACAGAAGTGTTTGCTAATAAAAATGTAAAGGAGAAACAGTTCCTAGTTACCTGTCTTCCTCCTGGATAATAAACTGTTGTTAACATGTCTTGGTTTGGCTTCTAAAATTATACTGTACATCAGCAGGAAATGGCCTAATGTTTATACTCAGGCTGGAAGTCACAGGATAGACAGTCCTGGACAGTTTGTCAAAGCTGAATGGTATGTGTCAGAAAAATCTCCTCTGCAACTGTGGTTTGTATACTCCCCTCCTAGAAAAGAAGTTTCCAGAAGTTTACCTCTCTTAACAAAAGAGCAATGATCATATAGCAGGAAATTAAAACATGGGCGGGCGGAGGAATTAGCTGTTTTAAGGAAGCGGTTCATTGCCTTATAGGAATAGGATAAGGAGAAATAGGATGGGACCAGTGCCCTAGGGATATTATGGGCTCTCACATACTGGAGGCATCTGAGATGTAGTTGGACAACCATCTGACAGAGATGCTTTAAGCATGAGGTTGGACTCAATGGGCTTGTAGGCCCTTTCAGACTCCGCTGTTCTATGATTCTGTGCACATCACAGTGCTTTCAAAGGTCACTGCTCTGAAAGAAAACATGGTGTTCTCATGCATCTATGGAATGCGTTTCCCAGAGAGGTCCGCCTGGCGCTGTTGTTATTTGTTTTTCGGCATCAGGCTAAGACCTTTTTATTCCAGTGGTATTTTAATAAGTTTTAATATTGTTTTTGTCTATGTTTTTAATTGCAGCCAGTGTGGGTCGGGCATTTTATTTATGCTATTACTTTGTAAGCCGTCCTGAGGCTTTTTTGCAATTAGGACGGCATATAAATATTTTAAATTAATTAATTAATAAAAAACCAGCTCCCTCCTCTACCAGTTGTGGCAGGGATTGGGTCCCTGAGGCCCTCTAGATATTGCTGGACTACAGCTCTCATCATCCCTGTCCATTCAGCTGTTGAGAGTTAGCATCCACAACCTCTGGAGAACCACAGACTTCACCCTCTTGATTCTAGCCAAGAACTAACAGAAGAAAAATGTTCACACCTATGCCACTTAATGTGGGTGACAAGAAAAACGGGAGTTTTTCTGCAGGTGTGAATGCTGCAGGTGAATGCTGCAGGTGTGCAGGTACATTTACAGTTTACTCAGGCATAGTGGGAATCCATGCAGCATGCAGGTAGTCCCAAAGGGGCTTCCAAGTTGTGGTCTGTACAGGGTGCTTTTATAACCTATCAGTCACATGCACAGTTTGTGGGGTTGGGAATCACGTGGGCAGTTTGCTAGGGGCACAGTAGGGTAAAACATCGAATGTGATTAAGTCACGGAACATGGAGAGAAGGACTTACGGTACAGGCACTATTTAGGACATCAAAGGTGTGTCCCCAAAGGAAGACCCTTCAGGGCAGGGACTTTAGCATCTCTCAGGTATATGTGGAAAGCAAGGCTTACAACACGGATTCCTGATCAGGAATCCCATGTTAAGTCTAAAGTTGCTCTTACAATGTCAGGCTTTAGCAGCCATATTATGGCAGAGCTTTTGCTCTTTCTGTTCTGCCCTGACGCGGGCGAGTAGAAAAAGGCAGTGCAGTTGCAGTACCCATGTGTGAGCTTTAGCCCTGGTGAAAGTGCAGTCAGTCCCTTCTTGTATGCAGCGTAAAATCAATGATCCGACGCGCTGTGCACACAGAACTCTTCACTTCCCTTCCAGCAGCACCGCCAAAGCCCTGCCCTCCTCCTCCGAAGCTGCATCCAGCACCGCAGAGGGTCTTAGTCCTGGAAATACAATTCAGGCAGCCATTCCCCAGGTGAGCGCAGGACCTAGCAAGAGCGCACGTTCACGCTAGCCTGGGAAGAATTTGTATTCGCTCTTTCGTTGTCGAGGACTGAGACAGATTGTTTGTGGGCATGCAACTCCACAGTGTGGCACTTTAAAGATTACCGTTGCTTGGACTGACCACCCACGAACCTTGCTCCGCCTGTTCCTATTGTTCTCTTCTTTCCTGTTGATTTTTAAGAGGTATTTGCAAAGTCTCTGTGATTTTAATTGCTCGCTGAAGAAGTGAACAGCATCTGACCCATACAGCCTGATCCATTAATAGCTTTCCAGATGCCTTCTGCTGCAGAGAGCAGCCCCGCTCCTATGGTTGCTAGGGAGACAATGCTTCCTGGTACCAGGTTTTGGCAGCTGTGGCGGCCTTGCTCCCTTTGAGCCCTGCCGCAGTCTCACTTGGTGCTTCAACACTTTTCTGGGATGTGAGCACTGCTTGCATTCGGGCATGCTAATGAGCAGATGGAGGCTGAGCAAGGTGTTACCAGATCCACAGGCAAACTCAAGTCAGGGCCAAGAAGCAGGCATCCCTATCCTCACAAGAGTTTCTGTGTTTAACTTTCCATGTTTTCCTCTCGCATTTTCCCAAGGCTCAAGTTGTTTTGCTACTGGAGATACGGTGGGAAAGAGGGAGCCACAGCTTAGCGCTTTTCACAGCTTAGCGCTTCAGCTGTAAGCATGACAGGGGGTCCAACCACATCTGAGTCAGTATAGGCCCCACATTTCCACCTTGTTGTGAAGTTGGGGATACGGATCATTCCTGGGTGCAGTCTTCCCTTGCAGGTAGGAGGTTCCAGAATTCGCTTAAACGATTAAGGGAGCAGAACCAGCAAGTAGCTCAGCCTGAAACCAGGTCACGGTGCTTGATGTTTATGGATGTTTCCAATATCCCATCAGGTTGTCCTCGACTTAGAGCAACCCCATTAATGCAAGCTCTCTGGAATGTCCAGTCTGCGAAACCCCTGCTCAGTTCTTCTACGGTCCACGTTGTGGATTCCTTTGTAGATTCAGTCCTCCTCAAATCTGGCTTTCCTTTTCTGCTGCTGCCTCGTCCATTATTCACAGTACGATGGTACCAGAGCATTGGGCTGCTTGTCGGTTGTGCATCACTTCTCCAGAAAGGAAAGTGCATTCCTGCAAAAGAGATGCCAACTTGCCTGCTTGCTTATTTATTTAAAATGTTCATATCCCATCACCACATGTCTCGGCATCTCGGGACGGCTTACAAACGTACAATTAAAAACAATAAAACAATGACAGATTCAATAAGATTATATAAAAGCAAAAAGTGACTTTTTTATTTTTTTATTTATTAAAACATTTTTATGCCGCCCCATTCGCCGAACAATACCATTAATTTTTAAAATAGCCATTAAATAAAAAGGTTTTAACTTGCCCAGCTGTTGCATATGAAAATGTATCAGTCCAAATTTAGGAATGACCGATGATGATGATGATGATGATGATGATGATGATGATTATAGCATTTCTATGCCGCCCCTTGCCGAAACCTCGGGGCGGCTTACAACATGATAAAATACATTGAAATACAATAGTACATAATAAATTACCATTAAATATAACAATACAAAAAATACATTGATTTACAAATACAAAATTAAAATTATCAGTATAAAATAAAAATATAGGAGGAGAAAGAGAAGGAAGAAGAAGTTGCCCTGGCCAGATCATATGTTTTAACAATTGAAATGATGTTTAAATAAAAAGGTCTTTACCTGGCGCCGAAAAACCAGTAACGACGGTGCCAGGCGGACCTCTTTGGGGAGTGAATTCCATAGGTTGGGCGCCACCTCAGAGAAAGCCCTCCTCCGGGTACTTACTCTCCTAATTTCTTTCATGGAGGGTTCCTGGAGAAGGGACTCTCCCGCAGATCTCAAAGGGCGGTCGGGCATATATGGACGTAAGCGCTCGTTCAGGTAGCCAGGACCCAAGCCGTTTAGGGCTTTGTAGGTCATAATCAACACCTTGAATTGGGCCCGGGCTTCAATGGAAAGCCAGTGGAGCTGACGGAGGACTGGAGTCATGTGAGCATAACGCCCCGTCCCCGTCAGCAACCTGGCAGCTCTATTTTGCACTAATTGAAGTGTTCGGACTGTCTTCAGGGGAAGCCCCACGTAAAGCGCGTTACAGAAGTCTAGGCGGGAAGTCACCGAAAGGGCTTCAGAAGCTGCATCTTCACTGGGCAAAATGCAGCAGCCAGGTGAGTAACAGGGACCAGATGGTCGGCGCATACGGCTCTGATTCTGGCCCGCTCACATGAGCTGCCTACCTGCTTCCACGCCCTATTCAAGGTGCTGCTTTTAACCTATAATGCCCTACATGGCTTGGGATCAGACTGCGTCTTTCCTATCTATCTAGGGAATGGATTATTTTAAACAAAATTTCTGCCTTCTGTTTACAACTGTGTGCTTCATTAAGGCTATGGTATTGGCCACTGAGGAAATTAATTGCTCAATTCTACATTTTTTTAGAGAGGGTGTTAATATTAACATTGCCCTAACTATATCCCTTAAACCTGCAATTAACGGTGTGGAGTTGTTTTTCATAATCAAATCTGGACTTAGTTTAACCTGTTACCTTGGAAACTGAATGGAAACTGTAGGGTGGTTAAAAGAAAATTGTCCATGCATGCATGGTATAATTGGCTGTTGGCCAGAGATGTTGAAGAATCATCTCCAGTTGGCTCTTCCCCTGAGTGAAAATATAGCAATGCTTCCAGTCACTGATCATGCCTGACTGATCCTGAGCATCGCTTAGGATGCTTAACCTAACAACGGGGTAAGATCCTGTACAAAAGTATGCAAAGAGGATTGCAACCATTATGGAGCATTATGGAAGCAGGTTTAGCTGCCTCCTCAGGCCAACACAGTGCTCAGACACCTGGCAACCTGCTTTGTGCTTGCCCTACAAACCAGAGCAAACCTGGTTTTCAATCCTGGTTTGTGAGGCAAGTGCGAACTACAGTTTACTCATCTGCACAAATGGTAAAATGTACGCAAAGCGTAGAAGGCATGTATGTGCCCAAAGTTCAATAAAGGTGAGGGAGCCATGTGGCCCGCCCAGCTACCTGCTAACAAGGACTCCTACTTCATGGGTCAGATTTGGGCCACATCCCACCAGAGGGTTGCGGTCCTGCAAGCCACCCAGAATCTTCAGCAGGAGGACGGGATGTAAAAGGAGGCAAGGAGAAATGACAGAAGAGTGTACTTTTGAGGGTAATATTGGGGCAGGAGGAAAAAAACATCTAAAATTAAAAGTTCACTATGACATTTTTAAAAATAGACACTTGAAAGTTTGTGGAGGAGGAGGGATGGACAACTTGGGCCCCTCCGTGTTGTGATTTACAATTCTCATCATCCCTTTGATTGGCAAAGCTTGCTATGCCTGACGGGATCTGTAGGCCAAAACCTTTGGAGGACTGGTTGCTTTTCTCTGATTGACAGATTCTTCCTGAAATGGGGAGACTGAATTGGAATACCGGCAGAGCCAGTGTTTGCATGTGAGGAAGAAAAAACCATGTGAGATAAACCTTGCTACGAGAAACTAACTGTAGCAAACATTTAGCGACCCCCAAGGAGGGACTAGGTATAGTTCGATATAGAGATAATTGGCTGCCGCTAAATGCCAGACTCTGCCTCTGTCTGTCACCATTTTGACTGGTTTCAGCTGAAGGTTCTAGCCATTGCCAGCCAGTTCTCTCAGCTCAGCAGGTGAAAGATGTGCAAACTCCTGCACGAAGTTGCGGCAGGACCTACCTGTGTCCCCCCACTGAAGCGATGCAGGGATCGCCAGGGCATCTCCATTTGCCTCCCGCGGGTCACCACTTTCAGAAATGGCTAATTTCTGAAGCTACCTGGAAATGGAGAAATATTCCTCCCTGGAACGGTGCGTGTCCATGAAGCTTGCCGAAGAGGTGCCGCTGACCTGTGCCATTGCGGGAACAAGTGTTCCGCGCTGCCCTGTAAATGCTGTCTCATAGATACTGTTGTCATGGGAAACACATGGGATTGTTTTCTCTCTCTCAGGCATAGCAAGAGTAGGTTTGTCAAAACTCCTGCATCTTTTTGAAGTCTGTCGGAACAACATTCTGTTTCTTGGCATGCTCCTTCTTGCGGTTTGCTAATTTCTAATCCAGAAAAGGCAACCATGATTCCAAAAGGAAGAAGCTGGTAAATGCCATTTCTGCAGTTCTACAGTGATAGGAAAAGCTACACTTTTTCAGGTATCTCTTAAAAGTATGAACACCACTGCCAAAGGTTAGAGGGAAAGTCAGCGAGCAAAACCTTACTACCGTTTGAGTAATGGCCATGTGTCTCTTGTCTAAAACATCTTCCTCTGATAATGCAAGATGATTGCTGTAAAATACAATTGGTTGAGGATCTTGGTACAGGAATATAAGAGAGTCGAGTTGGAAGGGGCCAGGAGGCCACCAGGTCCAGCCCTCTGTTGTGGCAGGACTCCAAGTGAAGCAACCCCTCTCAGATGGCTGTCCAGCTGCCTCTGGCCTCAGAGGCAGTGTGCGTTACCCCACACTAACAATCCCAGCAATGTGCAGATCAGTCACGCTGACAGTCTCCCCTGAACGCAGAACCGGGTTTTGTGTTATGCACAACTCCTACTTGACTATCTCACTTCCAGAATCAGGCTCAAATAGCATCTACACATCACCCTGTCGTTTTACATCTGAACCAAACTACAAATCTGAGCTAAAGACCCATATTTCCTCACATTGCATTTGGAAAGGGCTTATGAAAATCTAAAAAATCATTGCTCATTTATAAAAGGCCACTTATTTTAGTAATGTTTGGTGGAAAATGACCACATATTTTTACTGCCGCAGATTTTATTTTCATACTAAAACAGAACGTACTACCTAATCCAGAAAAGTCATGAACGGGCTGTAGAAAGCCAATTTAAAGGAAAGTTACTTTTCATGCATGGGTTGTATTTACAAAGAAGTTTTATTATATAACATTAGTGGATGTTTAAAAGAACACAACTGTACTCTAATATAATCACACAATGCAATTACAAAAACATGTTGCATTTGCCATGGGAAAACCGTGTGCTCAAGTCTCTAGATTTCTTTATGAGAGCTTTCTTTTGTGCTTCATCAATTCGAAGGGCTTTGAGATCCTGGTCACGGTCAAATGGCCTTCTCTCCTGGGGCTTATCTTTTTCTTCAGCAGCTTTGTTCTTTATTTTTTTCTGGTGTATGTCCATAAGAGATTCAGACCTTTGAGTCTCCTAGACAAGAAACAACATGGACAATGAAACTGGAGACATTTTAACAAATGACTGCAATCTCATTACCTTAACCGGTACTAATTACCCCAAAACTCAGTGGGACTTAACTTCTGAGCAGACACTCAGGTGCTCATGGACTGACTGCAACAGGGCAGTCACTCTCCTAAAAAACCCTAAAACAAGCACAAATGCTTATTTCCAGAGCAGGGCAGGTGAATGGAACTTGCACTGACCTGTGCTGATGTGAAAATGAAAGTCTCCAGTCATATTCAGGGCTATTTTTTAGTGAGCAGAAGTCCGGCACATGGGATGAATCCTGCCTGTGCACAGAACTGTCCACACACCACCTCCTTGCATGCTTGCTTTGTGTGACGGGTGCAGGACTCCACTCTGGCTCTTCGACCCCTTAATCAGAATTCACCAAAGCGGCAGGTAGCAGGAGTGGCTCCCCAGCTGACCATGGGAAGCACAGGGGCGGGTGGGCCGGGGACAGCTCCTCTGGCCAAGTTCTCAGCAGCTGTCCCACGGAGGAGTGTTCCCCCTCCCGATCATGGAGCTCCTAATGCAGAGGGGCCCTCGCTAGCAGCCCGCAGCAGCTCTATTGCCCCACCTTTGTCTCTTGCAAGGAGCCTAGGCTGGATTGCACCCCCCCCCCATCTTATCCTCACCACACCCGTGAGGGCAGCTAGGCTGAGCGGCCCAAAGTCACCTCCAGGAATTTTAAACTTGTCCAGCTACTGGAAAATGGCCACATATTGTAGCAGAAAAAACCATACTTCAGCCAGGCACTGTGTGAAGTACCTCCTTTTAATCAGTCCTGAATTTCCCACCATGCAGCTGCACTCAATGACCCCTGGTCCAGGGAGATAACTTATTTATTTATTTAGAATTTTTGTATGCCGTCCCATCGCTTATAGCCTCGGGACGGCTCACATAAATAAACAAACATAATACAAATACAATTAAAACCCAGAAACACGCTGGCTGCACAATCAAAACCTATAGCTATAAAACATTATTAAAATAGTTTAAATAAAAAGGTCTTAGCCTGGTGCCGAAAAACAAATAACGACGGCGCCAGGCAGACCTCTCTGGGAAGTGCATTCCACAGATGGGGCGCCCCAACTTCTCCCCAATGACTTTTTCCACACCGGACAGAATATTCAACAACTATCATGTTTCCCCTGACTCATTCCTGCCGAGTAAAACAGGCCCCAAGGTAGGAGAGCCCGTTCATTTTGGTTGCCCTTTTCTGTGTCTTTTACCACTCTTGCGTTACCCTGTTTAAGGTGCAGGGACCAATACAGAGCTGAGTGGTCGCATCACAGTTCCGTATAGGGTGAGTCTTGTTTTCAGTCCTTTCCTAAATATGCCTAACAAGGAATCGACCTTTTCCACAGCGGCTCCATAGCTATCCATTACAATCCCAATCGTTCTGGTCAGTCCTTGCCAGCTCCGATTAGAAAACCTTTTTTAAAACACTTCTATTATGGTGCTCTTGACACGCATTTAAGGAATTTTCATGATCTTGTTGAAATTAACACACATCTGCAAAATGCTAATAGATCTGAACACTGGAAGTAGTGGCACAGAAACGAATACTGCAGGGGTAAATTGTGGAAATTAAAGGAAATAGGAGGCCATACGTACGTTGTATGTGGACAACTGCTCCATCAACCTCTTGTCCCTCTCGGACAGGAAAATTTCTGCATCATCCTTGCTGATGGATTTTTTTGCATTTTTCTGTTCCTGGTAAGTAAGAGGAGACCTGCTGGTTAGCAGGCAGAAAAGGGCGTGTGTGTCTAACGTAAAAACAGGACCCAATAATGGCGTGGGACAGTCTCTGTCATGAGGAGAAATTGCCGGCCACACGGTACAGGCATGTTCCCTGGATAAGTGCAGAGCAGACGACTGGCACCGAGATCTCCCCCTGTTCACGTTCGCCTAACCCTTTGGTGTGGCCATTTTTACCTCAATGGTTTTATACTGTAGTGCATTTTAGATTGCGTTTTAATGGACTGTTGTAAACTGCCCAGAGAACTTCAGCTATTGTGCAGTAAAAAATCAAGTAAATAAAATGTGTACTATCATATTACCTTTGTTCAATGTATCATAAACCAACATCATTTTCCCTGCAAGGAGCCTTAGGTGCCTTACATATCTTCCCCTCCATTTTTTACTCACAACATTCCTGTGAGATAGGTTAGGCGGAGAGTCCGTGACTAGCCCAAAAGCACCCTGTGAGCATCGTGGCCAAATGAGGACTAGAACCTGGATCTCCCCAGTTCGGCACGATTACCACTCCACTGCACTGGTTCTCTTGCATGTAACTTCTTTATAGATGCAAAATTGGCTTGGGGTATGTTGTCCATACCTTTTCAGTTCAGTAGGTTAATCACTGGATTATTAATAGGCACACGAGTGAACGTTTGCTTACGCTTGCTCTCTTTTCTCTGTCAGCTGGAGTTTCTGTCCAAACCGAGCTATCTCCTGATTTGTCATCAGCTCTTCTTTTGAATGCTCGTGGACCAAGTCCAAAACTTTTGAGTTCTGGTGGAAGATCTGTCATCCAAGACTCTCTTTTAACTTGCTTGGAACCATCCTTTAAAAGCAAAATGAGATGCATCTATTTTTTCTTGATGTTTTCAGGAAAAGTACAGCTCAGCTTTGCAAAATCAACATAAATTGTGAATTAAACTTACACCATCTTGACCAAGGAGTTTCTCTTTCATTCTCTGTGCTCGACGGTCAATCTCTGTAGTTATGCTGGATTCCACTAGCCTTTTGGCAGGCATTGGTCCAATCATTGTTTCATCATCTTCACTACTGTCTGAAACCTTTTTCAAGCATGAAGCAAAACAAAGCTGGTGAACAAAATGGCTGTGGTAGGTAACTCTTAGTATTTATGCAGGAGTTCAGCATCTTCCAACGCTTCTCATACATGGCAATCCATACAGTATCTGCTACTGCATACTGCAGATGAGCTGAACCTAAGCAGAGGTGTCTTGCCTAGCCTTAGTTAGTGCGAGAATGAACAACCTCTGGGTCCCACACTCTTTCCTCACTCCAGAACCCAGCAGGCACTGCACGCCTTCCCATTCTGCCTGAATTTACCACCAACCACAGCAAGAAAAATATTTTTCCAGTGCGACAAGCTGGACAAGGAGTGCATACCCAGCGCCTAAGTAAAGGCACACTTCTGGAGCTTGTAAACACGGCACGTACTGCCCAGGCACCCTGTTTCTGGCAACGCGTTGCCCCCACCACACCCAAAGCGGCAGCAGAATACAGCAGGGGCTGTCGGAAGCAGCCCCAGGGACCCACCCAATCTGGTCAGCCCGCCACAGAGGTAAGGCCGAGATTCCCTGAATCGCTGTTCCGCTTGTTCCTGCTGTGCCACCCTCCTTCCTGCGTTTTTCTTTTAGTCATCAAAGGCTGAGCACCTTCTCAAGTTGTTCAAGTTGCTCCCATAAAATGCAAAATGCGTATGTTTGTGGGCTCAGCCCATGCGCTTTCTCCATGCTCAGCCTCCCCACCAAACATACCTGAGCTGTGTCATGTCTGTTCTCTTCGGCATTCTCTGAGTCCTTCTTAAAGCCTGGTGGTAAAGCAGGGCCTATAATGGGTCTCCAGAGGACAAAAAAATCAATTTGATTTTAGTTATGGCATACTGGACTTCAGCAGTACCCCCACTGATCTGTTCAAACTGTGGGGAATGTTCTCACCCACCAGCACAGACTGTGCAGAAAGGTTCCATCCTGATTCTACCCCAGTTCCAGGGACTCTCCAGATAATCCAGTCCTGAAACTCATTAAGGTTTATCAAGACTGCATTAAATTGGTTTTAGAATACTTCTTACAAGGTTGAGCTGCACTCTTGAAAGAGCTGCGTGTGGAAGGGGCAGAGGGGGCTTGGACAGTGATGTTCATTGGTTCATTTAGTAAACTCATAGGCCATTCAGTGTCTGGAGGAACTCGGTCTGGTGGGTACAGTCTAGAGAAGCTTTGGCCTCTCTAATTCCCCAGTACAAAAAGAACGATCTTTTACTTAGGAAAGTATTATTTGGAGAGAATTCAAATGTATGACTTCATATAGCCAGTGCTCTTCTCACAGAGAGACCTAAGGAGACATTTGTTTGAAAGGGTTTTTTTAAAAAGGGTCTCCCCTATTACAGAGAAAGTAAAATTTATAGTTAACCAGTGATTAACTCTCAACAAGAGATGAACAGTCTGGGTCAGGCTGCCCCAGTAGGCAGAGCAGATTAAATTAACTCAAATATAACCACTTTTTTTTTGCCATGATCACAGCAGATAGTTATCTGCCTAAGCAGAAGTGACTCTGGATCACCAGAGCCCCCTTGGCTGCACCACCCCTTCCTGTAAGGGTCAGGAGTTTTCTTCCAAATGGGACTGATCCGGAAAGCATCTGCTTGCTTTTTCCTCTCAGGATGACCTGGCAGCCTAACGTAGAATTTCTAAGAGCAGTGAAAATATCCCTTCAGTTTGCTGTCTAGGAAAAGAGACTATGGCTGGGCAGGAGGTAAGACTACAGACCACTGCCCAGTACACGGGGAAAGACTTAACAGCCGGTTGGTGGTCACACCCACCAAGACTGAATATTCCTCGTCACCTGGATGAGGAGGGGAGCTCTGCAAGCCACCTGCGGGTCCCCCCGAGAGGAGGGGCAAGCAATGAAAGCGGAAGTGGTGGCGGCAACAGGATGCCCGGGATGTACATGCAGCCGGTGCTGCAGGAGGTCTTGTTCAGCTGCACGGAACAGCAATGCATGCGGCAGCTTTGCGGGACAGCCCAGTCCTGCCGTTCATCTTGCGCTCCTCCTTGGACAGGAGAATCCAGGCTGTTCGTGCTTCCCACCTGTCCCACGTGCTATGTCTCAGCTTGGTCTCAGTGCCCTCGATGTGCTGCTGCCTTACAGGAGACCGGACAAATCAGTTATTTTGGAATGCACGGACCCGGCTTACCCGGAGCTGCAGATCCGCAAGAGAGCAGCCGCTACAAGCTTGGCAAATGCCTCTGAAGCAAGCAAAAGGCCGATGAGGCTTTGGGGATTCCTGTTCTGATACCTCACAGACCGATGCGGACCAGATGCACCAGCACATGCAATTGGGCCTTGGAATACTGAAAAGGCTTCCGCAGCCATCTGCATTCGGGGCTGCCAACGGGTTCGGCACCCTGAAGCCCCCGTGCCTCTCATACAATCACAGAATGGGAGAGTTAGCGGGGCCCGAGAAGGCCATCAGGTCCAACCCCCTGCTCAGTGCAGGCCTCCAAGTCAAAGCATCCCTCTCGGCTGGCTCTCCAGCTGCATCCTGAATGTGCAGGGAAGCCCACAACCGGTTCCCAAGGTCACTGGTTCTGTGCTCTTGTTGCTCTAACAGTCAGGAAGTTCGCCCTGATGTTCAGCCGGAGCCTGGCTTCCTGGAATTTGAGCCTGTTATTCCGAGTCCTTTGCTCCGGAACGATCAAGATGAGATCCTGTCCTTCCTCTTCGCGACAAGTACTTGAAAAGTTCTTGCAGAGGGCTGTCCTGTCTCCCCTCAGCCTTCTCTTCCCAAGGTCAAGCTTGCCTGGTTCTTTCCAGTTCTGCCCACAGGGCTTTGTTTCCAGGCCACAGGTCATCTTTGTTGTCCTCCACTGATTTTTCCCCAGTTTGTCGGAATCTTTCTTAAACCGGGATGCAGTACTCAAGGCCTAGCCAGTGCTGAGCAGAGAACTAGTACTCCTGTGACTGGGAAGTGATACTTCTATTAATGCATTTGGATATTACACGAACTTGTAACAGGGCGCACACAGAATCCTTTAGTACAGTCTGAATCAACTGAACTTTCACTACAAAATTCTAGGACTCCCCCACTTACTAAAAATTAATTATTTAAAAGCCTAACTACATTTTTGCGAATGGGACAGCATATAAATGTTCCAAATAAATAAATAAATTTTCATCTGCATTACCTTTCTGGGGATTCATCCTGTTTTTTAAAGCCAGGTGGAAGTGCAGGCCCAAAAAATCCATCATCGTCATCGTCATCATCTCTTTTCTGTTTTCTGAAATGAAGTAGTGGGGCTTAATTACTGAAATATGAATAGTAATTATTGACGCTTCAAAGGAAAAACAACTTGAAATTATTTCAGGTAATCACATCTTATGCCCTGTGTTCTCTGTCTCCATGGTGTGGGGGGTCAACACCTTATTTTTAAAATTGTTACCTGAGGTGCCTTTAGCATCCAGAACCACATCAAAGGATGTCTGAGATCATGCTGTGCCCACAGGACTAGACCTGTCCGTACACTTAGTTACAGTACAATCACCTGATCAGGGCAGTTTCACACGTTCACACAAATGCACTGACCTGGGTATGGGACTTGAGTCCTCCTCATCCTCAGAATCCCAGGCCGTTTCTTTGGGTGCACGGGCAGAGGGGCATTCCTTGTCCCCACCATGTCTTTCCAGGTTACTTCTATAGCCAGGAGGTAAGGCTGGTCCTGCAACTGAACAGAGCAATTCACCACTGAACAATTCATGTCAGCAACATTTTTGCATTGGTGCTGAGACTAAAATGTCCAAGCCATGCTTCTTAGAGCTGAGAATTGTTCCAAAATAGAGCATTAATTCAAAATAGCTACAAGCAACAGTTTCCTTCAGACATGTATGGCCAATGGTAAAAAATAACATGTCATGAACATTACAGTAAGTAGAATTCTTTTTTTTACACATGAACAGTGCAATCCGATATGCAGTTTCCTGGGGTAAGTTAAATTGGACTCAATATGGCTTACTTCTGAGTAAACATGCACAGAATCACACTCTTAGGGCACAATCCTATCTATGTTTAGACAGCGAAAGACTGGGGCAGGCTGGGAGTGGTAAGCCTTTTACTGCCTAAACATGCATAGAAGAGCAAGTTACGTCAATGGAAAACAAAGATGAAGGAAAGCCAGGGCAGGCATACATCCAAAAGGAAATCTCTCTCCAAGCAAAGGTTAGACGTTTAAAGACATCCAAGAGGTTATACGGCATGGCTAAATCGTACCGTGTTGAAGAAGTTGGCTGCTATAATTGCGTGGTCTGCAATTCATGCATTCTGTATGATGCAAGCTCGTTGCCACATTGAGTATGTCACAGATGAGCAAGCTCATGCCATGCCATCCCAAGCATGGTTACTCGACAGCCAGCGTGTCTCAGTGTACAACAGGGCTTGTGTATAGTGTCTATATCACTGTATTCAAAATCTTTAAGATTCAAAATCTTAAAAGACAATGCAGTAAAAGTGCTACACTCAATATGCCAGCAAACTTGGAAAACTCAGCAGTGGCCACAGGATTGGAAAAGGTCAGTTTGCGTTCCCATCCCAAAGAAGGGCAATGCCAAAGAATGTTCAAACTACCGCACCATTGCACTCATTTCACACGCTAGCAAAGTGATGCTCAGAATCCTACAAGCTAGACTCCAGCAGTGTGTGGACCGAGAACTACCAGAAGTACAGGCAGGGTTTCGAAGAGGCAGAGGAACTAGAGATCAAATTGCCAACATGCTGGATCATGGAGAAAGCGAGGGAGTTCCAGAAAAACATCTACTTCTGCTTCACTGACTATGCTAAAGCCTTTGTGTGGTTCACAACAAATTGTGGCAAGTCCTTAAAGGGATGGGAGTGCCAGACCATCTTATTTGTCCCTTGAGAAACCTGTATGCGGGTCAAGAAGCAACAGTGAGAACTGGACACAGAACCACTGATTGGTTCAAAACTGAGAAAGGAGTTCGGCCAGGCTGTATACTGTCGCCCTGCCTATTTAACTTATATGCAGAGCACATCATGAGAAAGGTGAGGCTGGATGAATTGCAAGTTGGAATTCAGATTGCTGGGAGAAATCTCAACAACCTCAGATATGCAGATGATACCACTCTCATGGCGGAAAGTGAAGAGGAACTAAAGAACCTCTTGATGCGGGTGAAGGAGGAGAGTGCAAAACTCAACATTAAGAAAACTAAGATCCGGTCACTAGTTCACATAATGGAAAACCATCCCTAAGAATATCCTTCCATCTAGGAAGTGAGCCTATCGAATCTAGCTTTGTCCCAGTACGTTCGTTTCTAAGCAAAGGAAGCCTTTGGAGGCAAGCTGTGCCATAATAGGAATGCTAACTCCAGTGAGCAGTGGTCTGCTCGTACGCAAGACAGTTACAGCAGAACAAAACCCACAACAGAACAAAATAAGCAACAGCAAGCAAGCTTTTGAGCTTAAGAGGATCTTCTACCATGAATGCTACCACCCTTTCAAGAGTTCTTTGTTTTTGGCGTTCCAGCCAGCCTGAAGAATACTTCTGGTCAATTCAAGATTATTTTACAGGATTCCCGCGGAACCCAATAGACAACCTAATGCAGCCTCAATGGCCCAACAAGAAAAATCACAGGTATCTTTTCTCTACCCCGTGGCGGATTCAAAATCTTTTCCCAGCCAGGGCAGAAAGACCTGGTCCGAACCAGCTCAGGAGAGACTTGCTGCCCCTCCGGTGCCTTCTTTGAAGGCACCCCGGAGCGCGGCTTGCACGGGTCGGGGCCCACCCGAGGGACGCCGCCCACCGAGGACCACCTGCTCGTCCTCCTCGGCGCCGGGTTAAGCCAGCCTCTTAGCCCGGGGCTCACGCGGCGCCTTCCCCCCGTTCAGCCCGCCTCGCGCGCGCGCTTGTGCGGTCGCCTCGCGGGGGACGGGCGGGAGCCACGCGGGGAGGCGCCCGCGGGCGCGAAGGGGCCCCCGGGCCGCGGCCCTGCTCTCACCCTGCGCGAGGCCTCCGTCGGGGTCCGCGCCGGCCGACGCCATCGCCGGCGGAGAGGGGCGCGACGGGCGCCGTGCGGGCTTCCGGCGCGCCCGGGCGCGTCACGCGGGGCGGGGCCTCCCCCTCCCCTCCCCCCCGGCGTAGCGCTCCTTCCGCCACCGGGCGCCGCGG